CTGCCTAGCTACCCGGCCATCAGCCAATCGGACTCACCCAGTCCTGTAGCTACCGGCCATCAGCCAATCGGACTCACCCAGTCCTGTAGCTACCGGCCATCAGCCAATCGGACTCACCCAGTCCTGTAGCTACCCGGCCATCAGCCAATCGGACTCACCCAGTCCTGTAGCTACCCGGCCATCAGCCAATCGGACTCACCCAGTCCTGTAGCTACAGTCCTGTTTCTCTGATGCTAGAAGAGTACAGGGATCCCGTGTTTCTTCAAGGTCCTCTGTGAACTCACATAGAATCTCGTGATGTTGCTCTCTCTCTCTCTTACACGGGCTAACTGGGTTACCTCCTGTACCAGCCCTTGATTTCCAAGCATCGTGAACACAGGAATGCTTTTTCTATCCATTTTGGGCTGGCAGATCCTTCTCTGTACCATGGTCTGGACCTCACACGGCAAGCTTCTTTGCGTTCACTTTATTATTATTCTGCCACTCTGTCGTATTGATAGGAACCTACTGATGGGGCCTGGCGAAGTGGGAGGAGCAGGAGCCTGAGACCATCACACTCACCGAGTGCCACCACATTGGTAGAATCATGGCACTGGCATCCGGGAATTTCCCAGAGGCAGTGGCCCAAGTGAGTAGAAGTATTGCTTCCAGAATAAAAGGCCCACTGAGGCAATCTGCATCTTCAGGAATGGGAAAAAATCATGACACTCATCTCGTGCCTTTGGCGCCATCTTTGAGATGCTGCTAGCAATTATTTCAGGAGAAACTTCAAGGATTCTGATATGAAGTGAGAACCAGAAACCAGCAAAGGTGCTAGCCCAGATCCAGAGGACAGTGAAGCAGAGTGCCCCCTAGGATAGACATCTGAGTATCTGTGAACCCAAATGTCTCCCAGATTTGCTAGAACGTTCCATGAGACAAACGAAGTGCACACCTTTAAGGCTAAACAGCAAAGGTTTGTCAGATACATATTGTCTTTTTAATAACTTGCTGGGTTAACACCAGACTCTTGTGGATACCAGAAACATGTATATGGGGGATTAAGTGACAGCGTATTTCAAGCAGTTCATAATGTGATCTGGCCTGTCACACAGAGAAATGGATGTAAGTGACGGACCTTGGGCTAGGTCTGAAGGAAGTTGTAGCTGCATGCTCTCCTCCTGACCCAGCTATGCTCAGGGCTCCATGGGAAGAGCTTATGGACACAGACTGATGGATGGTTAAAACGTGGACTAGGTTATGGCTAACAGCGGGAGACTGGAGTCATAGAGAACCACTGCTTCTGGTCACCCTTAGGTCCTTGGGATCCCAGGACTGATGAAAGGCTAGTTGGAGAAGAGTTGATGGTGGTGAAGAGGGAGGTCACACATTTCATTAAGAGCTGCTGGCTGCTTCCATGTATCCACCTGCTTCTCATGTAGTACTGGAAACTCAGTTGACCAGGATCACAAGACAAAAACCTTGATTGACTATTCACTCCTTATGAAGAAGTCTAGCAGTGTGATTAACTTCTATCCAATGAATGTGATATATGAAATGTCAATGTCTGGATGGTTCTTCCCCTTTATAGGTGATGTTCCCAATTTCCATAAATCACTTTTATTTCCAGTGTCTCATTTCCTGTGCAATGCACCACATGATGGTTCATATTGACTGTCAACTGGATCTGATCTAGGGTCCCCTGAAGATGGATGTGCTGCCATGATGGATTTGATACATGACCTGTGAGCCAAAATGAACCCCCTTTTCCATAAGTCACCTTTGTCATGCATTTTATCATAGCAATGAGAATAGCAGCTAAGAGCAACATGGCTTATGCCAGTCTCTGGGTTCGCTCACCATCTGTAAGCTATGAAACCTTGACTGAATGCTTTCACCTCTACTGGGCTTTCAGTAAAACAGGGCCTTGGTCACACCTCACACAAGTTCTTTACTAGTCATGATGAGTGACTAGACTTTGCATGTTTCAAGCAGACCTGACCAGGACACTCAGTGAGCATTATAACACTCTTCACAGTCAGTACCCATCCAGGAGTGGCCCAAAGCCATCCTGGTACCCAAACCCAAAGGTTTTCCTATGTCCTGAAAGTGTCATTCTACTTGGTCAGAGTGACAGTCAGTCCTGCTCCAGGGAGGATGGCTGTACTGAGGGCCTTTTCTGGTTAAGTACAGATAGGCTTCAGTGAACTCTGCTGGCCATGTTTTGGCGAGTTGGTTAGGCTCTCCATAAGGAGCCAGGAAAGGCATTTCTTTCATGCTGTGGAGGGTGGTGGGAAGGAGAGACAGACAGTAAGTCAGGGAGAGAGAAGGGTTGGGCATTAGCTACTACTTTCCTTTCAGGGTTTTGGAATGCCAAACCAACCTTTCTAAGCCGTATGAGTGCCAACATCTTTGAGTATATGATGGAGAGGCTGTGTTTTCTTTTCTTCCCTTATTTTAAAGTATGTGTCTATGAGTAAAGTGTAATAAATTCCTGAGGAGAAAAAGAAAGAACAATTCTCAGTGTTAAAGGATCAGGGTGTTTGCTGTGAGAATGTGTCTCTAGAAATATAAGGAGCTGCATCCACTGTGCCTCAACAACATGAGTGGCCATCATGAGCAGAACAAGGACAATAACAGACATGCCAGAGAGGGCAGGGGGCATGTCCAAGAGGCCTCAAACTTAGTGGAAGAACTCCAGGCAACTAAGGAATGCTGAGATCTTTCCTAGGAAGAACACACCAAATGGTTATCCTTGAAAACATACATCTAAGAGTAACACTATAGTAGCATTATACTGACTGAGCAGTTTATATTTATGAGTGTGTGTGTGTGTGTGTGTGTGTGTGTGTGTACAATAGCAGTTAAACAAACATGGGTCCATAAATTGAAAAGTTGTGAGGAGGGGTGTATAAAAGAGTGTGGAAGCCGAACGTTGGTGGCGCATGCCTTTAATCCCAGCACTCAGGAGGCAGATCTCTGTGAGTTCGAGACCAGCCTGGACTACCAAGCGAGTTCCAGGACATCCTCCAAAGCCACAGAGAAACCCTGTCTCGAAAAAAAAAAAAAAAAAGAGTGTGGAGTGAGGAAAACAGGAAAATGAAAGGAAAAATGCAAATAATATTATAATCTCAAAAATAAAAAGCACATAGAAATTCCTGAGTGTATGTTTGTATGTATGTGGGTGTGCATGCATGTGTGTGAATGTGCATGTTTGTATGTATTCATATATGTATGTTTATACATGTTGTATATGTATGCATTAATCTGTGTATGCATATATGTATCAAGTATGCATAAACGCATGTGAATGTGCATGTGTATGCATGTATATGTGTGAATGTGAATGTATGTATGCATGTATGTGTATATGGGTATACATGTATATGTGTATCTGAGTATACAGTATGTGTGTGAATGTGCATGTATGTGTGTGAATGTCCATGTATGTATATGAATATTCATGTGTGTGTGCATGGATGGATATATGTGTATGCATGTGTGTATATATGGGTATACATGTATGTCTATATCTGAGTATGCAGAATGTGTGTGAATGTGCATTCGTGTGTGCATGTGTGTGAATATGCATGTATGGGTGCATGTGTGTGTGAGTGCGAATGTATATGTGTTAATATTCATGTGTGTGCATGAATATATGTGTATGCATGTGTGTGTGTATGGTTATACATGCGTATCTGAGTAAGTATGTGAATGTGTACATGTGTGCATGCGTGTGTGTGTGTGTGTGTGTGTGTGTGTGTGCATGTAGAGGCCAGAGGTTAACATCAAGGTCTTAATCACTTCCTTAAATACCCATACTTCACTTATTTATTTAGTTAGTTTTGGGGGGGGTGATGGTCTTTCACTGGAGCTGTATCTCATCAATTTGTCCAGTGACATCTAAGAATCTGCCTTTCTCCACCTCACCAGTGCTGGGATAGCAGATGTGTTTTCTACTACTCTGGTGCTGGGGATCTGAACTCAGGCTCTCTGCCTGTGAAGTAAGCACGTTACAGAAACCCATCTCTTTGCCGCACGTTTTATTTAAGAAATCTGTAGAAACATTGCTTTCGAGATTACAGGAGCATATGTTAGTCATTTGGACACGGAAGGGAAGCAGGGGAGATGCAATGCAAACATGCAAAGGGCGTGCACAGGATGAGAGCAACACATAGGTGTAGGCACTGCACACTCACCCCAGAACTGGATGCCTGGAGAGGTGTGAAATTTGGCACATGTCTTGTATTTGCACACTTAGCACAGTGACACACAGGGATGTGACATTCATCTAGCGGTTCACATGTGGGTTGCAGGAATGCTCACAAGCAAGAGAACACAGGCAGCGTGAAGGGAAAGTTCCAGCCAGTGAGTTCTACAGCAGACAAAGCCGAGCTTCCTTTTGCTCACGGTCCTGCCCTGTCAACCCCAAACACAACCGCTATGAGCTGCTAATTAAATCTACAGCGTGTGTACTATACATGATTTCCCACCATTAGGCTCATTTCTTAATTATTTCATTTTTCTTTTGAGTTTTGATATGTTTTCAGGCAAGGAGTCCATTTGGAGCTTGTGATCTGAGAGTCAGGTGGAGTTCATCTGTGGCCCAGTAGTACAAGAAAGACTCAACAGAAAGGACAGTGTACGTAGCTTTAGAGAAAGAAAGCCCTAGTGGGTTATGTGGGGGAAAGCCTCCTTGCTTCCTATAAACAGATGGTGTTTCTTTACAAAGCTCCTTTGCTCCTTAATAAAACAAAGAGTCCCTGCAAATCCCAAACTTTAAGGTGGTGGAGAAAGAGACTTAGATATTGGCACAGTATTTTCTTGGAAGATTTGGGCAGACCCGGAGGACGAGGGAGGTTGACCAAGCTGCCTGGAGAACACAGGCACCCAGTCATTTAGCATATATTGATTTGGTTTTAATCTGCAGAACAGCTTTTCATTTACGAGACCTGAGTCACCACTGCCACTGAATTACAGCACTTCTAAACTTGGCTTTAAAATTCTTATTGACTCCATAGACCCTGTTTTAATATGCTAGCTGCATCTGGAATCTCTAAAGACCTGTAAGACCTGCCCGGGACAGGGAGCAGACACAAAATCCTATGAAAAGGGTTCTGGATGACGGCTCAGCGGGTAAGGATCCGAGTTTAGGTCCCAGGTATCCGTGTGAGGGTACAACAGGCATAGCAGTGGTAAAAGCAGAGGCATAAGGATGCACCGAGCAGCCAGCTACCCAGACTCCCTGAATCAGTTAAGTTCTGGGTGCTATTCTCAGACTCTGCCTCCATTTGTAAGGTGGGAAGGCGACCAGGAAGACATGTAACAATAGCCTGGGATGTCTACATTCATGCACTCTCCCATGTGCATGGGTACCCCTCCACAGGGTGCCCATATATCGCACACACACACACACACACACACACACACACACACAGAGGCAGGGAGCTGAAGTGGCGGCAGGGGTCGTGCAGGTCTGGAAGGGCAGACTCGAAGCAAGGTGTGGGGACAGCCAGCTCAGCTGGTGGAAGGCAGACTCCAAGAGCATCGGGGCACCAGAGAGACACACACTTGGCTAGGATCCACACACAAAAGGCAGACACTCTGTTTGCTTAGCTTACTCTGGGAGACATATCATTACCAAATTAGAACTACCAATCATTTGATTTGTGAAACACCACATTTTTTTCTTTAAAGTAGCACTGTTCTTATAGTAATACTCAAACCCAAAAGGATTAAATTATAATGTATAACATATAATGATCTAAATCTGATGAGTTACTTTTGGAGCTTAATTATATTTGTTCAACAGTCATTTGAAGCATTAGGACAGGGCTTTTGTAATACCCTGATTAATGATGGGCTTTGCTCTGCTTCTCCTACTTAGTTGAATTCTTGTCACAGTGTGTTGGTAAAATAGTACAGAGCAGACTGTTTGGGCTGAAGCTATGATTTGAGGATACTGGGTCAGCTTGTGACTTTCAACTTTTACCTTCTATCTCCAGAAAACCTATATGAAAGTGTATTCAATTAAATGAAGAGGCATTTAAAAGTTTTTATTCATGTGCTGGGGAGATGACTCAGTCAGTGAAAGCTTGCATGGCGAGTCTAAGGACCCAAGTTCAATTTCTAGAATCTACATTAAAAACATTGGGCATGGTGGTAGGTTTGAAATCGCAGTGCTGGGGAGGAAGAGAAAGAAGGATCCCTGGGGCCCGCTAGCCAGTCAACCTAGCCTACATGGAAAGTTCCAGGACACGGAGAAGGGAAGGTGCCTGAGGAATAAGACATGGGGTTGTTCTCTAGCATTCACTCATGTGTTTGTATATGTGTGTGTACACCATCACACAAAGGCACATGTCCACACATGACCATGCCATGTCTCCCTCCACACACACAAACTTTAGCTGTTACCGATATTAATTGTCCCAACGCTCTTCCCAGATACAGTGTGTCCAAGGAATGCTCCAGTTCGGTAATGTCCCATCTAAGAATGAGATCAATTCAGACAGCAGGCCTCTGGAGGCAGAATACATAGCTCCAACAATTAAACATAAAAAACAAAACAAAACAAATAAAACCCAGCATTCACTTAATTCCTTTCTTCCCAATCTGGGGTCATGGAAGTTCAGTAGTTGAGGCCCCAGATTCTTTAGCCCTCTCCCATTAGAGCACATGGCATTGGAAATCTTACAGAATCGTCTTCATAGTGAAGAACTAATGACTTCAAATGGTCTATGAATACCAAATACTGACACAGACAAAATGATACTGACCTAGAACACATTTAGCAAATATGAATGGCTTAGATAAAATAAGAGATATTATTTAAATCTTACTAAACTGCTGAAGATCCTCAGATTATAGCCTACTTATTCTGATTAATTTTATTATCTCTTAGGGAATGTGATAAGCAGATAAAATAATACACCCTCAAATCGACCACTGACACTAAACAAATATGTGAAACAAACAGTACAATAAATGCTGGACCCTGGTTTGAATATAATATATTATCATGTAGTTTTTGTACTTCAAAATTTGTCTGGCTTTCTTACAAAAGAGAGTTCTCTCTTTGGGAGTTGTTATTATCACGAAAGCATAAACTGCCATATGTGCTAAACCACAGTTACTACCCAAACGTATTTATTTTAGAAATACACACAAATAAAACCATTTTAGTGGTGGACCGATAGTTCTCCTTATGTGTGAGTTTTCAACAAAAGCTGGCAGTCACCATTCTCCAGCCATGAAGGAAGAGGACCCTGGGAGAGTCAACCAGGAAACCCGGTTCTCAGTCTCAGACCAGGAGAGGCCATCTGAGCTAAGTCATAAAACAGATTCACCCCGAGTTTACATTAAAATACACACAGGAAGGATGCTGTTTACTCTGGAGGGGGGTAATCCCTTCCTATTTAAATCATATGAAACTCATGAGCATATAGTCTCAGTACATTTTTTATGGTTACAAAAAAGTGCTAGAAGTTGTATTTTTAGAGACATATACCACCACCACCCCAGTATCCACTAACTTCCTCAGATAGAACTCTGGCCAGAAGAGAGGGCTTTAATCCACTGCATCTCTATCTGGAATGATTAGAATTTCAAGTCTGAAAGAAGGGAGCCAGTGCCTAACTCCTGGCTTTTCAGGTTGGTTCTGTCCCTCTACACACATTTTATGTTGCCATTTTGCATATTAATTAATAAAGACAAAGTCCTAGCGTATGTTAACTAGGGAAGCAATACTTTAAAATCAGGTTGATAATACATGTGTACACATACTGTTTCTCTTTATTAATTATGTGTGTGTACATAAATAAGTAAGTGTGTGTGTGTGTGTGTGTGTGTGTGTGTGTACCAGAGGTCTATAGTGGGTGTCAACTTCTGCTGCTATTCACTTTGTTTTTGAGAAAGGGTCCCTTATTTCACCTAGGGATCACCGACTTTATCATGCTTCCCCGGGCAGTGGGCACCAGGTCCTCCTCCCTCCACCGCTACCCCAATCCAATCTCCCCACAAGCAGCGTTAGGGTTCTAGATGCACCATTGCACCTGCCTCTTCTTCCTATGTGGGAGTCGATCACCTGACTTAAGTCCTCAGGCTTGCATGGAGAACACTGCTGACTGAGCCCCTGTCCCTGTCCCTGATCCTGTCCCTGCCCCTGCCCCTGCCCCTAGATGGAGGCTTATATTTGAGTTACACTCAGATTACAAAAGCATTGATTCCTCTTCTGTCCTTCAGAAAGAAGTGGATCCACACGAAACCTGTTCACACCTGGGGGTTGTGGAAGTGCCCTGTACTCTAAGACAAGTGGTCCACAGGCAGATGCTTAAGAAGTCAACAACCGTGTCCCATACAGAAAACACGAAGTTTCTTTAACCCACTGTGCATGTTAAAGAAAAAGGAAGTAAAGGGAAGACTCCCCGAGACTCAATTCACAGCATTCAAATACAAGTTTCTGAGGTTTGAAGACCAAAGCACTGATTTTATAATTAAAATCACTTCAACTGAAGTTTCCACATTCACGGCCATTCTTATAGTCAACACTCCCATCCATAGTGAGGTCTGGAATGGAGCTTGCCGCCTTGGTGAGGGCAGAAATAAGCCGCTGCTTTAAAAGATTGTTGAGCTTGAGTTACAGGGAAGCACTTCCTAGAATTGAAATATTTCTCTAAACAATTCAATGAATGATGACATTTCTCATCAAGTTACACCCAGCAATGGGAGTAGCCTGCCCTGTGAAAACAGGATGAAAGGAAAATGGAAGATGGAAATACAATAGGAAATTATAAATTTTTACAGTTTTATTAAACAGTATCTAAATGCATTACAAGAATTACCATGGGCTGTGCAGTAAGAATCTACATAAATGAATCCTATACCCACAGTCTGCATTATAGTCAGCAAAATCGGTTACATGCTGAGCCAAGTCAATAGATGTTGTACTCTCATTCTTGGCATTGAAAACTTTAATCCATCAGACTGACTTCATATTTCTCTGGTAGTCTTTATGAATCCTTTAATATTCATTTCCGTTGTGTAAATGAAAAGTCAACTTTTTATGGAGTCATAGGTAAGAGTCATAAAGTTTCACTTCAGAAATAACACCACTTCTAAACTTTCCTTCCCTGTGAACTGTCAGATCTGAGTGGATATCCTACATTCTGCCATATCTTGTTTATGGTCTGCAAATGTCAACTTTCTGAACAGTCTTTGACAGGCAAGCAACTTAAACAAACTGCCATTATTTTCCTTATCACTTCAGACAGTGCATATCCAATAAACATCTCATATACTGAGTCTGTACTAGCTGTGGGACAAGGATCTGTATTATACTGTGGTGGCTCCTACCCTCTAAGACCTTCTACTTTAGGGAAGGGGACATGCTCGAGGGTTACCGCAATGGGTAATGGGCTAGGAGTAGAGTATGTGAAATATAATTTGTTTGAGACAACTGAATATGTTTACCCTTGGGACCCCCAAAAGACACAAGTGGTGGATTTTATTGGTTATAGAAAGTGAATTTAGTTGCTACAAAAAAATCAAACCACCAAGATCCAGGATTTTATGTTCAGTGAGAGGAAATACTCATAAACTGACACTCTCACTTCCAAGGTATGGATTTTCTATTAGTAATTCATTTTTAAAGAAAGTTTTGGATATCTTACTAATTTAATCTCTAGATCAGAATAAAGAGAGTATATTCATGGTATTCATAATCCTACCTCTTCCTACTCGCCATACAAGGCATCAGTAGCTGATCACAGATCTTACGATGAGGCAAGATGTGATCTTACAATCTTGTCAAATAGCACTTCAGAGCATTACTCTTAATCACACAGTATGGTGGGTAGACTATTCAAGCTCAGAGACATGTTTTCTGTGGAACTAGCACATTGACTTTACAGGTAGCAGAGATCCACAACAACATAGGAATTCTAGAAGAATGGAATTAGAAGAGAGACATGAATTCATTTGCTCAATTCTCTCATGTAACAGATACCTGGCTATGTGGGACACACTAGACCTCTTCCTTGCTGTTGAGCCTGTTATGATGCCTTTCTCCATGGGTGGCTAACTCTCAGGGTCCCATGACACTGTCCCAACTTCTGTACATTAGGATTACAAATCCAAACGGTCTGTAGGCGTCTAGAACTACTCGATTCAGAACTCCTTGAGCAGCTATCCTTTGCTGATCTCTGCACCTTAGCCTCCTGGAACATCAAGTGACACACAATAGTTTTCTAAAGAAAAATGATGAATGAATGAATGAATGAATGAAGATAGAATGACTTTTTAAAAAAATGCATTACAAGTGGTTTGCCATTCAAAGTGCATTTCCTCTGGAAATAATTTCATGCAACATCAGCACCGTAAGGAGTCTCCTTGCACTTGAGGCAATGCTTCCTCCCACACAGAATGGCAGAGCCAGAGGGTGCTTGCCAGGGAAGGAGCTGCCTCAAATGACCCAAAATCAAGAGGACGTCAAGCAACATCTCTCATTCCTGGAACTGGGAAGTGGGCACCAGTTGACTCAGAGTTGGGAAGCACAGCGAGTACTGGAAATAAATAGGAAGGAAGGGTTTTCATGGGGGCGGGGAGAGCACTGCTGGGAGGAGCCTGGAAGACTAAAGACAGGTATGAAGGGGTGAGAGATACTGCAGTTTATGGGAGGATAGAGATAAGAAAAAGTCCGTGGCTTGTCCATAGTTCTCTTAAACAGTCATTCCTAGGAGAGATATACAAGCAACTCTAAAGGAGGCAAAATAAGAGACAGCTTGATTGAGGCTGATCCAGGCATGACAGAAGAGCACAGAATAGACAGAGCCATATAAGCAGGATGCGACATGCCTTTAAGAGAAAATTGATCAGCTCTCGATCCAATTACAGCAGTTTGATTTCAATCATGTTAGCAGGTTCCCATTAATAAAGCATTAAGAATTTATTAAATATTTCATCTATGTTATAATTTTCAGAGAAGAAAATCAGGCCAAGATTTACAAATGATTTCTTTTTCCCCAGAGTAATCAAATACATCAATTGACAAAATTGGGGCACAAATTTAGATCCTAAACCCCTCACCATTTGCTCATTGTGGGGTCCACCCTCACAAGATATAACAGAAAAGGGGGAAATTCAAGAGGAGATGAATGGTGAGTAGAATTTACAGCCTCCAAAGCCCTCTAATTTTCTTTCCTTTTTTCTTTTTAATACTCATGGAGTGTGTGGGGGTTGATCTTCTTCAAAGTGACACAAGCTAGAGTATCTTGGAGGAGGGAACCTCAATTAGGGACTATTCTCTCTCTGACTGGCCTATGGGCAAGTCTGTGAGAGTTTCTATCACTCAAAGATTGACAGGGGAGCGCCCAACCCAACCCACGGTGACCACAGTTCCACCACTGAGAGGTAGTCTGGATGCTGTAAGGAAGCAAGCTGCGAGCCACGGGGGCACATGTCAAGTAAGCACATTCCTCTGGCCTCTACTTCAGGTCCTGCCTTGAGTTACCGCCCTGGCTCTTCTCAATGATGGACTGGAACCTGTAAGCCAAATACGGTGTTTCTTCCTGCTATCTTTTTTTTTTCAATAGCTTGTTTTACATGTCAATCCCAGTTCCCTCTCCCTCCCCTCCTCCTGTACCTCCCCCACCCCTCACCCCCCACCCCCGATCCTCCCACCCTATTGCCAATTCCTTCCACATAGGGGATATCTAGAGTCTATCATTTCACTCAGGGTAGGGTCCAGGCACTTCCCTAAAAGTCCAGGCAGAGAGAGCAACCCTCTTTGTGTTATGGACACACGATGTCTGTTAGTATTCAAGGGATAAACACTGATCCACTGCTCAGGACCCCATAGGTAGCCCAGGCCTCCTCATTGACTCTCACATTCAGGAGGTCTGGATCAGTCCCCTCTTGGCTCTGGAGTCCAAGAGCTCTCTCCTCTTCAGATCAGCTGTCTCTGCTGGTTTTGCCAGCCCATTCTTTGCCAATTTGCTCTTTGTTCCTCTCTGTCACTGGGTTCCTTGGGTTCTGTTCAGTATTTAACTGTGGGTGTTTGCCTCTGCTTCCATCAGTCACTGGATGAAGGCTCCAGGATGGTTATAGACATCAAGTTCACTATCAGGAATGGGCATTCGAGGTGGTCTCTACACTATTGCTTAGCTTGCCAATTGGTGTCATCTGTTTAAATCACTAGGGGTCACAATGGTGCCTGATCTGTCTTCTAACCTATGATTCCCTCTTCCCCCTATCTTACCCCCCACCCCATCAACCTTCCTGTTCTTCCACAACCTACTCTTTCTACCACTTCTCCCCCTCTCTATTTCCCAGGTCCCCCTCCCCCCCACCCCTCGCCGTGTTCCCCATCTGTTCAGAGGATCTTGCCTCATTTCTCTTCTCCTGGGTACCATGCATATCTTTTAGGTTCTTTCCTGTTTCCCAGACTCTCTGTCATTGGAAGTGCAGACTGGCACTCTCCTGATCCATGTCTAAAATCCATATATGAGTGAGTACATATTTGTCTTTTTGTGACTGGGTTACCTCACTCAGGATGGTTTCTTCCAGTGCTATCCATTTACCTGAGAATTTCAAGATTCCATTGTTTTTTTTCTGCTGAGTAATATTCCATTGTGTAAATGTACCACATTTTCTCTATCCACTGTTCAGTTGAGGGGCATCTAGATTGCTTCCAGGTTCTGGCTATTACAAATAATGCTGCTATGAACATAGTGGAACAGATGCCCTTGTTGTATGAATTTGCCTCCTTTGGATATATGCCTAAGAGTGGAATTGCTGGGTCTTGTGGTAGATTGATTCCCATTTTCCTGAGGAATCTCCATACTGCTTTCCAAAGTGGCTGTAGGAGTTGGCACTCCCACCAGCAGTGGAGGAGTGTTCCCTCTCTCCACATCCTCTCCAGTATAAATTGTCTTCGGTGTTTTTGATTTTAGCCATCCTGACAGGAGTAAGATGGTATCTCAGAGTTGTTTTGATTTGCATTTCCCTGATGGCTAAGGATGTTGAGCACTTTCTTAAGTGACTCTTGGCCATTTTAGCCTCCTCTATTGAGAATTCTCTGTTTAGTTCTGTAGCCCACTTTTTAATTGGATCCTTTGGTGTTTTGGAGACTTGCTTCTTGAGTTCTTTGTAAATCTTGGAGATTAGCCCTCTGTCAGATGTGAGGTCAGTGAATATCTTTTCCCATTCTGTGGACTGCCTTTCTGTCTTGTTGACTGTGTCCTTTGCCTTACAGAAGCTTTTTAGTTTCATGAGGTCCCATTTGTTAATTGTCGATCTCAGTGTTTGTGCCACTGGTGTTATGTTCAGGAAGTGGTCTCCTGTACCAACTCGTTGAAGAGTATCTCCCACTTTCTCTTCTAAAAGTTTCAGTGTGGCTGTATTTATGTTGAGATCTTTGATCCATTTGGACTTAAGCTTTGTACAAGGCGATAAACATGGATCTATCTGCAGTCTTCTGCATATCAGTACCCAGTTATGCCAGCACCATTTGTTGAAGATGCTTTCTTTTTTCCATTGTATAGTTTTAGCTACTTTGTCAGAAATCAAGTGTTCATAGGTGTGTGGGTTAAAATCAGGGTTTTCAATTTGGTTCCATTGGTCTACCTGCCTATATTTGTGCCAATACCAAGCTGTTTTCAGGACTATCGCTCTATAATAGAGCTTGAAATAAGGTAAGGTGATGCCTCCTGAAGTTCCTTTATTGTATAGGGTTGTTTTGGCTATCCTGGGCCTTTTGTTTTTCCATATAA